TCTGTTCGCAATTGGTGGACGAGTATATTGGTTTTATGCAAGGTCTTGAAGTTAGAAGCTTGCACTTTCTAAATATTTATACGCGTTGTTTGATTAGTTCATAAACTGACATCTGCAAAAATCTTCAGAGCCGGCGAACTGCTGGCAAACTCCTCTTTAGATATATATGTATATTCCTTAAGTTTCCGCTCGAAAGCATGGATATACAATTTGATATCCACTATGCTAATAAGAAGAAGAAGAAGATTCTTTTCAACTGTTTTAAGGTGTTATTTACGGGGCTTATTGTTCGGTTCAGTTCACGATTCGAACCAGATTTTGGTTCAAACTCTGGCTTATCATACATTTAAATAGTATGATGCTTAGTTTAGGCATGACTTGTTTCCATAAACAACTGATTCGGTTCACAGTTAAAAGATATTCGAATGCCAAGCTTAAAACCGGTTCGATTTAAGAGCTTTGCTTATAACACTGCGAACGAAGTATATCGCAGTCGAGTCGAACCGATTGATTGTTTGCTTTGTTTTGTGTTTTTTTTTCCTTTCGCACCTTTAAAGCAGCAGCTGCAGCTGCAGCTGCAGCTGTGGCCGTGGGGCCATTTGGCTCACCTGTAAACAGATTCATCGTAGACGAGCAGAATGCGCAGCGGTTGATCGGCGACAGTGCTGCGCCGGCGCACGCTATGCACCGCTGGACTCGGGGGGTTCCAGTTGGCCACGTCATTAACGCCATCATCATCATCATTAACGGCATTATCATCATCATGATGGGCCAGCTGTATGCGCACACCGTGGACGACCTGTAACGAGGGGGAAGAAGAAATTAGGGGATTTGCTTTAAATATTGTGTTAAATGAAAGCGAAAATGTTGCCAACAATTTGACAATTAGACAATTAGAGATGACGACATGGCCACAAAAGGCCACACAGAAAAGGAAAAATGAGAAAAGGCAGCTATAATTGGCTATTGGGCAAATTGCAGTGAAATTAATTTTTAAATTGCCCGCCAAAATGTCGAACGATTCAGACATCGAAATGTCAATGATTTGGGTTAGTTTTGTTATTTCGCGAATTTGTTTTTTTATTGCCATTTTTTTTTTTTTTGTTTGTTTCACTTTGTTTTTGGCCATTGTGCAATATGTGCCAATTATTGTGCATAAATTAGAGCCTGATGAATATGCAAAAGACCGTGCCGAGCCATTTGGACTGATTACCTATTATAATTTATGGTTGGCCGGACAACAAACAACACACTCAACGCTTATGCACAAATTTGTTGAGAGAATCTTTCGGCTGCGCTTCACTGCTCCAGTTGAATGTTTGCGACCGGCAGATACCCTGCACTAACAGACCCTTTTCGGCTAAATCATTAAAAACTTTTCTGTTTATCTTTCAGTCAATTACCTTTCAAAATGTGGTAAGATTTTAAAATCTAAGCATTTTGAATATGTGCATGCTGTGGTAGAGCCACGAGCTATTCATCCTTCTGCTCCAGCTTGCCAAAAATAAATTCCTTAAAAACTTTTGTATATATCTTTTATTCGTTGTTTAGTTTGCAGGGCCTAAAGATAGCAACTTTATGTGTGCATGTGCCTAAAATCAAGGCCATTTCTCTCCAAATTTAAAGGGAATGGGAGAGCTCTAAAAGTTACATATATACAAATCACAATATTCCAGGTCTGGGTATGCGATGCTAGAGCCGACGTATAAGCTTCGACTGTCCCAAAAACATAAATCAAATATATTTGGGTTTAGCTTTGTATGTAACATAAAGTTGCACAACTTCATTCTACCCATCTGCAAATGCAACAGGGTATAGAAGGAACATAGATACATATATGTCGCACGCCCCAGCACTGAAGATTGAAAGCAAAAACGAAAGTGAAATGTAGCTAGATTCTTGCATGTGATATAACGTTTTATCTGGTTGCTTTAATAATAAAGAGCAGCACAACAGCAATTAATGAGTTAATTATCGTTAACTAATAATGCAAACAAGGCAATTTTGATTTTCAAATTAACTTAATCGCACAATTTTGCAGCCTGGGACTGGTCGTGAACCATGATTGAGTAGATGTGAGTTCTAAATGCTGCTAAATGCCATTTCCAGACACCTGCACATTCATTGTAAATAATGAGAATGAACAATTTTTGTTCTGGGTAATGCCGAAGATAACATACCCTTGCAAATGTCTGTGACAGACCAAGCTATGCCTTGTTCTTTTATGAAAGCTAGTTTCTATAAGATTGATAAGATTTGGCTCATATGACATATATTAAATTAAGCCTTCAATTATTGACTTTGGTTGCGTTATTTTAAAACACAAAAGAGTTGTCTATACAAAAACTACATCTTATACTAATATAATATAAATGATATAGTTGTCAAATGTTATAAGGATTTTACGATATGCTGAAGCCAAAGTTTGGTTAAAGTTTCTTAAAAAAAAACGAGAGATTAAGGATATTTTCCTTGTAAACATTTGCCTTTTCCACATATGTAAGAATTGTAAAGAGAGGAAACGGAATCTTTTGCTATACAAGAACCTACTGTTCGACAGTAGGATCGTTCCTATGGCAGCTATATAATATAGTTGTCCGATGTTGATAAGATTTTGCATATATATGTAGGGAGCATGGAGAAACTTATAAATGCCGAGTTTGGACAAGATATCTTGAAAACAAAAGGTTGTTCTACAAGTCCTTCATTTTCGACAGATCGTTCCTATGGCAGCTCTATGATATAGTTGTCCGATCGTATGTAACAGGCAGACAGACAGTCATGGCTGTTGATCCAGATCTGGAATATATACTATATGCTTTATGGAGTGGGAGAAGACTCCCTCTATCATTTCATGACAAAACTTTAATACCCTATACAAGGGTATATTACATTATATAATATTACATTGATTGAAATATCTTGAGAAAGTACGAAAGCTTGCCAGACTACGACATCTTTAGAAGCTTTATGAATACGTTACACATTTCACAATAAATTTACAATAACCTCTGTGAGAGTATACGATATTCCATATAAACGTACATAAACATTGTATATATCTATGCACGTAGACTTCCCAACAACAATACAAGCAATTTATCTATATTTTCCCATTCAGCAAAAAAGAACAACGATCACGAAAAGAAGAGAAAAACACGTTGATCTTAAGACAACATGCAGTGGCGTAGTTTGAAGGGGACTCCAAAGTCTATAATCCGAGCAAATAGATGGGAAGAAAAAACCCCGTGCAACTGCGCAACTGCCGAACGTATGGAAATCATTTAGATAACAAAAGTAAACATTACAATAGTCTCCTCGTTAGATCGTGACGACCCTCAAGAGTGAACAGCACTTTGCATATTATTCAAAGGGGTGTTACTGCCCTGCCCCCAACCCCACCGCCGCCCCTTCCCGCCCCTCCCCAATCGGTTTTTACAACCTACAACTGCGTCTCATTTTGGTGGTTTCGCATGCGAATTGTGCATTGAAATCCGTTAAACCGCTTTCAACCGCACAAATTGCACAGAGCTCTGCGGCAGCATTCGCCAGGTGAAAGATGAGCCGCAGCACCTGACGCACAATGCGCTTCGATGATGGCAGACGTTGCCGCAGCCACCGAGCTGCAACATGTGGCAAGCTCTTAGCGCCAGTGCCAATCGTTGCACAATGGATTTGCGAATTAATTTAGGAGTAAAATAATAAAATACACAGCTAAAGTTCTTCAACATAATCCAAAGCAAATCGTTAAAATATATATTTATCGAAAACTTAAAAATTAGTCTGATTTTAATTTTGGTTCGATAAAACTTGAAAGGATTGTAAAATAAAGCTGCAAATCGAATGTCAATCCAATCGATTCGAACTCGGAGCTCAATTTTGTTTTAGCCTCAAACCGAATTTAAAAAAAATTAACCTAATTTAACCATATTATATTTTTAAATCATTTTATTAAAACTTCCTTTTTTACTATTTTAACACCATTTTATATTTTTTGCGCAAAAGACTTTCAAAAGACAATAACCACAACATCTAGTGTTGTAAAGCAATATTAGTATACAAGTAAATTTGGGAACACTAAAACAAGAAGAAGAGAAGCGCGTGAAACAAAACAGATTACACAATTATAAAAATATATTAAATTGAATTATTCAATTGAAAATTGTGGGAAAGTGAAACGAAAAAATGTGTCAATTATTTACTTTTCAGGCGATTCGCCCCACTGTGCGCTTGCTTGGCTGTTTAAATGTTGCAGCAATGCGAAATCAGACAGGCTTTGCAATTCATCGAACATCTGGCAAATCAGCCATTATTAAAAACTATTTAAAACACAAAAAAAAAAACACACAATAATAAGCGTTAAAAATACCTTAACAATGTTTGACAATACATTTTCATGCGTAGTCCATGTTCTCGATATTTGAAATTGAATTTGTAACAAAGGGTTTACATTTTTCGCATTTGACATCTGTCAAACTTTTTATGGAAAACATTTTTAATAACAGCCTTTTGAACTTATTTTCATCACCTGTCTACTCACACAAATGCATACACACACACACACATACAGACAGAAACGAAATATTGTTTGCGATTGGTGGAAATATTGAATAGGTACAATTTATTCAAGCATTAAGTGATGAAAGCATCATTAACAGATTTATTTTTTACGTTGATTGAATTTGTAAATTTAAATTGAATTTAAGTTTTGCTTGATTTTTTAACATACAACAATTAATAGAATATTCTTTAATCGAATTCAAATACAGACGTTCCTTATACGCACAGAAAACGACACGTTTTACAACACTGCAGCTGTATAACTAATGAATATACTTTTCGTTTCTTAGGAAATTCGTAGTAATAAATGTATAATGGAAGTATGCTACACACGTTTTTATTGTTAATGATTTGTGTGTAATTACTTTTTGTGGTTTTGGGTATCAAAAATGTTTAATCTGGTTTTTCTTATCTCATATTTGTTAATGTAATTCGACTCTACGCCATATTGCAATAGGCTTTAAAATTTAGTTTGAATTGACAACATGAGGAGCACACATCTAGCTATTATTTTATTTACACTAAAACTGGGTTTGGTGAGTTCAAGCAAGTTTAATCAGGCAAATGTCACCTAATACCCAAAACCCATACAGGTCGTAGGATCTCTTAAATTCCAGAGCTTAGAATGCATCGTTCATATTCCCCGAGTCGTAATTGTTGAGGAATGTCGCATTCGGGCGTTTAATCGCACTCAAAATTCGCTAAATCTTAAGGTACATCTGAAAGAAACTATATCAAAAGTAAGTATAATTGTTAAAGCAACAGATCAATTAATATACTATACAAAAAACTTAATCTTAGATGCAAGTGAACTTCAAATTTTTAAAACGTGAACGTGGCGGTTGGCATCCGTTTCTATATTCGATGACATTGGATCTGTGTAAATTCTTTCAGAGTCCCAATCGACATCCGCTGCCCGCAATAATATTTTATTACGTCAAAGATTATACAAATGTAAATCACAGCTGTCCCTTTTTGGTAAGTTTGGTTTAATCTCGTTGAATTTTGTGTTCATTAGTTCCCTTTAGGCGAATACGTATATGGAATTGGGTGCATTTCAGCTGGATGAACTGAGCATTATGAAACGATTCCCCGTCGAAGCCGGGCAATATGCATTACACACATCTTGGTACTCGAAAAATCAATTGATCTTTCAAGTAAATGGCTCGGTAAATTATATCAAATAGATTCCATTGATTAAGAATTAAAATTTTAATTATATTTTATGGGGCGTATTTGAATACGGATTGTCTATATAATTCTTTTTTAAGTAGCTTTTTTCTTACTGAAGGTAATTTTAAATAATTTCCGCCTTACTCACTCATGCGTTTCATAATACAAACATCAGTTGATTCTTTTTTATTATTGTTTTTTTTCATGGCGGTCGTTTTAATTGTTTAGTATAACTGATTTATACTCAACGAATAAATCCATTTATGATATGATTAAAACCGTCAGCCTTTAATTCTACCCAATCTTAAACTAGATTTAAATTCATTTTGATTCTTATAATCTTAAACTAGATTTTCTGTTGTCAATCTGATAAAAGTTGCTAACATTGAGTAACAGGATGCCAGATTTCGAAATAAACAAAATACATTAGAGAGAAAAAAAAGATTTTCTGTTATATTTACAGTTGTTTTATTTAATCAAAGTAATCGATTATTCGACTATTCACTAGCATTATCGCTAATGATTAAGAACAGTTTCAGGCATAACTAAAATAAGGTGAGGTAAGATAATGTAAAATGTTTACTAATACATAATTTGTCATGTAGCTAGTTAATATTGACTTAATTTTTATTATCATTTGCCATAGGCTGAAAAAAATAGGTAATTAATGCATTTATATACAATGAAAACTTTCCTAAAGGACGCTCCTTTTGCGGTAAAACATTTTTCTAATTTTTTTCTTATTTCTTTATTTTTCCGAATATTTATACCTCTTCTGGACGAACAGCCTTTAAACCAAACGCGGTCTATACATTTTATGCAGACGCGAGACACCAAATTATCACATAAATTTACTTTCGCCGACATATCTCCGTCCTAAGAACGATCTAAGAACGATATAATCCCTTTAAGTATCACAAATAATATTGGGAATTTCCCTGAGTAAAGGAAATTTCGGAGCATGACCTAGACATTGATTTAAGGCTAATGTGACGCGCATTCAATAGGAGCCGCATTAATAAACATTGCAAATTCAAAGCAATTAATTAAATGACTATGACATTGCGTTCGGATAAAAAAAGATGTAGCAAGCCAAAATAGAGATAAAAAGAGAAACTTACCAATTAACGTTAAACGGCCGCATTTGAATTTCTTAAACAAGAAACTATAACGTTTTTAGTAAGGAAATCTATACTGAAAATATCGCAGCATATATACATACATATGTCCTATTGAAATATTTCAAACAATGCTGAAAATGATTATGGAATTGGTGCAGGAGCTGCCGCCACACTTTCTAAGCACAGAAAATATGCTTATTCAATCTGCGATAAGACGTAATGCTCAAGTAGCTTACTAACACACAAAATGCGACTATCTAACAAATTTATTTTGCGTGCCACATTGGAGCGTGTCCAGTCTTTAAATGCGACTCACGTTTAAGGCAATCGAAATAGGGGCAAATAGAGGGAACAAAAAGAGAAATGTACCGTATGCTGCGCCTGGCTGCCTCCAGTATTTGCTTTTTTAGTCAAACAGCCAACAACAACAAAAAACACCCATAAATAGCAAACACGATCCGCTGCACGCATGCGCCGGGCGCCGGGCATTTAACAGTTGCGCATGCTAATTTGAGCAAGTGAATCGATCAGCCGCGGGGGGCAGTGAGACGCGCGGGCGTTATGTTGAGTAATTATTTACGTGCTTCGGGCAGACAATCTGTCATTCGTTCACTAAGCCAAGCATGACGACATTTTTTCGCCTACCTCTCTCTTTCTCGCCCCCGTCGTGCCTTTTGTCAACACTTTGGCGATCTTCCGCAGTTTTTCACTGCCGTCTGTCACCTGCGTTCAATGCTCGCGCCGGTCAGATCAATCGAAGCTTTCAAGCTTGACTGCCTGCGAGTGAGTGAAGCAGTGAGTGAGTATTTGTGCTTTCACTTTCGCTCTGGGCGCTCAAGCTCAGCTATAGCCCTGGCGGCTAGCGTTGTTTCCTTTACATGCTCAATATGTGCACACGTATGTTTGTGCATATGTGTGTATGCATTATTGAGCAGCGGCTATTTTGCATGCAGCGCTAGTTTATGGTTTATTTGCTTCTCTCGCGCTCAATTTATTTGTTACCTCACATTGTGACCGCAACGGACATGTTACTTAATTAAAATCATGAATACCACACAAAGGCACATTAATAAGCATTAATAAACCACATCCACACACAGACGTACGCAAATATCAAATGGTTGTCGGACTACACAAATTTAACGCATAATTCTACTAGTGGCAATCTTTACAGTAAATTATTTTCAATTTGCGTCGCCAACTGACGTAAATTGAATGAAATCGGCCGAGTCGCTCCAACTGTAGATTATTGAATTTGTCGTCCTTCATCCAGCACGTACACATAATGCTTGCTATTTGTACATATGTCGCCCAGCAACGCACAACGGCACGTTGCATTACAGCAGGCAGCAGGCAGCAGTCCAACGTTATTTGAGAACAAACTCAAATTCAATTTTACGCTTACTCAATATGCACAGAAATTAATTTTGCAATTTGCGAATTTACTCATGCAGGAGACGGGGAGAGCAGGCTGTAAGCTTAACAGAAAGAGAGTTGTTGCTGCATCTCAAAACAAAGAGGCGACATTTTTTCAAGGTTACCACCGACTTGAAATACTGCAATAGCATGGACTGACCCACAAACATCGTATCATTTACAGTTGTCATTAAGGCAACTTGTTGCGTTTTATTTAATTCATAATATTGGCCTGGCGTGTGTTTCAAAATTAGCCTCGAGCCATGTAGCATAATCAACTAACTGACTAACTGATCGGTGGCTTTCAACAAACTTGTTTCTCTGGCAACCGGCACACGCACACATACACACACAAAGACGCACACACACAGAGACAGCTTCAGCTGGAGATAAGTTGGGCGATTTTATCTTTTGCACTTGTTTATTTGCCCGATTGTTTACACAACGCCTTCAATATGCTTAGCTACTCTGTAGTATACTGCGTATAACAAGAAGTAACAAATGGCTGCGCCGATTATTAAATACTCTATCAAGTATACATCAGATTTATACTGTGTAACAAATTATGAACTGGAGCTTGTAATTGTTGAAATAAGTGAAAATATATTGAAATTAGTAAAACAAAGTCAAGCAGGCAATTGCTAAGTTTATTTATGCACATATGCACTGCAGGCAATAAAAACAAAGGGATATATTCCAAGTTTTATTGAGTTTAATAAGAATAAAAATAGGCGGATATAACTGGCACGAATGTTAATATTGACCAATAATATTTATGTTTTATCCATTTTGGAGTTATTTCCCTTTGTGCATTACAAACTTTGCGACAAATTTATAATACACTCTGTAGAGTATAAAAATGGTTTATGCAAGCACATCTTAATTAAAAAATTCAAAAGCAATTTTTACAGCTACAGTTACAATTGGAAATGTATCTCACTTTCTAGTCGCAAAACGAGACACAATTTGCAAGGGCGGACATACAGATGTGTATGTATGTGTGTGTGTGTGAGTGTATGTGTTTGCAACCTACTGCCAATTATAATGGCAAACAAATGCAGTAAGCACAAACAGAAATCTATGCAGACGAGTCGAGGTCAAAGTTGGCTGTTTTAATAACCTTTACGGGTTTTATTTACCAACTTGAACCGGAGCAGAAACGCCCTTTAACTGAGTTTCGTTGACGACATTGCTCAATTGCTAAGGCTATGTATCTGGGACTTATTTCAAATACTGAGTAAGAAATAATATACAAAAGTAACAAAATTAAATAAGTAGGCGGCATAATTATAAAGAAGCCTTTGAAAAGATTACAACTTTTGACAAATGTATTTTTAGATCAAACGACGAGCTTCTAAAACATCAATTTATTAAAGTCCATTTGAAGATGAGTGTGCTCTAGTGGGGAGTGCACAACTATTAGATACCCTGCCCCAAACCAAGCTGCTGCTGTAAACAATCCGGCTTCTTATTTGCTTATTCTTTCTGCTCAATGGAAAATGATTTTTTAATTGATTTCGGTGTTTATTGTCCGATTTTTATGAAATTTAAAGTCTTATATGTGGAATACAAATGTGTGTATATATAAGAGCTTAAGCCTATAGCAAAGAAAATGTATTTTTATGAGGGAACGGGCGAAAGTTTTCAAATGGTAAAACATTCGGGATGTGTTTATTCTATATGAAAGTCCATATACCAAATTAGGCATATGGTTCATTCAGGGACAATTAGACAATTTTGGATGCTACACATACTCTCCTTCCGACTAGAGTACTCTTGTTTTAGAATAAAACAGCTTATTTTACATACTTATTATGCAAATTTAAAATAAATTCACTCTTACGAGTATTTAAAAATAAAATATATTGAAAAAATCGAAAAGAGCACAAGGAATTAGTCATAAAATTGAACGCCTGACGAGCTTGGCGTACATTGTCTTCACCTCTCATATATCATCCAAACCTTACATAAAAAACTCATTTTAGTCCGGTTTCAACTTTTAAAAACTTGTATAATTATTGAACTAGCCAGGAGGTCGTGCTGTCAATTACTAGAATTATTATAATTTGGAAAATGTATTGTATACGAAACAATCAATACAGCTCTTATACAGCCTATGTATTTGGTTGAGCTTCGTATTGTTCATTTTAAATTCGTTGTCTTAGGTAGGATATAACTTATGAAACATTGCCAGCTAAACTGGCATCATCACGGTTAGAATTGTTGTATTTATTGAGAGACGTGACAAATGTTTCAATTTGCTCCGTCACCCTGGTTTAATTTATTTAAGTGTAATTAAAACTGAACACTGGGCATGCGACGGTTGCGGGTTTGAATGGGATGGGATGGCTGGCGGGGTCGGAGTCGGGGGTCCGGCACTTAGTCGTCCGCAGTGCCCGCATTTATTGCAGCATTTAAATACTCGCATAAATCCGTGCAATCACCGCGCATGTCAGGATCCGGGCGGGCGGCAATTGCGGCGTGGCATTTGCCGGAATGCTTGCATTTGAAACAGTTCAAGTTACAAGTCATTAAAATAATTGTATGCGTATTCAACCCAACAGTGTGGGCGGCCAGTAGATACCCTGCCACAAGTTGTGGTAGACAATAAAACAAGAATTTTTCATTCGCGTTTTGCATCGTTAATATACATTTTTTGATGATGAATTTCGACAGATGAATTTACTAATACACTTTAATGGAAACAGAAAAAGTTGTAACAATTCTCAACAAGTTTAAGCTCGGAACTATTGGTAAGATGTTTGTATACCAGTTTATAGAGGTGGAAGGATCGCAGCATAGCAATACTGATAACCTGCTCGTGTTTCAGTGTTAGGTCATATTTTAATACATTTACCATCTTTATATCCGTGCACTTCACAATTACAGGGTATTAATACGTTAAGAACACGCAGTGTTTTTGAGGGGTTTTCCCATTCGCCTATTGCTGACTTTTACTGAAATATAATGCAGATATATTCAAACGTTTCAATTCGATTCTCAGTACTTGAATCAGGCGCAACCAGCTCCAGCTCTACGATAATTATGTAAATGATCCGTTTTTCCACAATTGCCGGTGACCTTTTTTTATGATTGAGCGCCAATTAAACTTAAGTCGCTTGCAGTTAAGAACGACATGTGCCAGGCGCTGCACTTGGCCGTCGCGTTGCCACTACAGGTGTCAGACAGACCCAGACATTAAACCGGGTCGCAGTTGCTGCCACACAGCCGGTTGGAGCCTCGCCTGGTTCGAGCTGTGGGCGTTTGGCAACCGCTAAGTCGCTGGGCCGTTAGCATCGCATGTGGCTGCACCAAATTATAATTTCTGTATGATTACCCAATGGATTTGTCAATGCATTGCCAAAAGCATCACGCGGAGCTGTGCGTGAGAACTTTGGTCTCTGCTGCTCCCCCAAACCGTACACATAAGTCACTAAAGTATAAATCATATATCAACATCAAATGTAAGCAACTAACGCATTCAATAAATATTATAATCATTTCACAGATTTATCAAAACCTGTTTAAGCTCGGTTCAGAACTAGTTCCAAATATATGCACAGTGTTGCGAAAGCTTTTTTAAGGGCAGTGTTGGTTGTGAAGCTATGTAAGTAAAGCTATGTAAGTCCCGGTTCGAAGCCCAGGCTAGTTTGTAAATGTGGTAAAAACTAGGTTTATAGTTTTGAGAATATATCTTTTAAAGTAAAAGTTCCGCGGACCTAGTAAATTTGTCCGCTTTTACCATAAACGCAGGAATAAAAGGAATTTGTTACATATTTCTTTATACGTTGATGATTATCAAAAGTGGATATTTGAAAATTTTATTTTGTGGAAGCAACATAATCACAGAAAAACATATAACACATTTGTCACCTATTACATATTTGTAGGTATGTGAATGATAAGCATAATAATTTCTTTGATTAAACACAAAACCAAAAATTATCGAATGTTTAATTAATTCTTGTCATTTACCTAAATTTCTAATCAAGTTTTTGTATAAAATGTGTTTTATTAGAAAAGTATTTTTACTAAGAAGGAATTGTAGATGCACGCTCAGGCTTTTACTTGCACCCCACATTATAATCCCATTCATTTTAAGTACAATAATAGTATCTTTAAATTATGGTATACATATGTCTTCTTCTTGCCTGACAGTTTGCAAATCAATTTTGTAGGAAAATATCCAAACGGCTTATCGATAAGCAATGAATCACTCAAGTGTTGCCAACTGCTCAAAAAAACCGTTTGCATAAGCCAACACTTAAAATTGAATATAAAGCTGATTACAATTTTTTTCCCTTGAAATATAATTTGTGTATGACTGAGGAGCAGCAGCCGTATTTAAAGCTAAGGCTAAACCCTCTAATTAAGCTGTACATGAGCGCAATTAAAAGTTCTATATTGAGAGAGCCGTTCTTATGAAGTGGAAAGATTACACGCACGCATGTACACACACACACACACACACGATAACCCAAAGGGACAATGGAAAAGCAAGCAGATTAAGGATTTAGAGGCGAATCAAGCATTGAATGGGCGGGTGTGGGGGGTTCTTGTACTCACCTCGTGTGCTTTGGGATGTTGATGCTGACAGTTGTGCGCATTAACTAACAGCCAGCAGCAGCAGAAATACGCAAGAATGGTCAAACGAAGCAGCTCCGACCGTTGCATGGCGCTCGCAATGTGTGGGCGGGACGGGTTGGGCGTGTTGAAGCGTTTATGTGGGAATTAATGCCCTGAGCTAGCTCCGAGCTAATTATAGAACTATGTGCTAGAACCTCTCACTCAATACCTGGTATGCATGGTGAGGATTGTTGCTGTTGTTGGATTGTTTCACTTGAAAACCTGCACACACACAAGGAGCATGCATGAATATATGTGTGTATGTGTGTACATGCACAAACATTTAAGCATTTGTTTACAGCGTTTCTCAATTGTTGTTGTTGTTGCATGCTTTATTAGCCGTTATTTGCTCATGCGCTTTATGCTTCTTTCTCTGTATTTATTTTGTTTGTTGTTTTTTGCTTATTTTTTTTGTCAATTAACTCGCGCACCGAAACCGGCTGGGCAGCCCATGCTCCTGTCCCTGCCTCGCCCGCGCACACACATTCAACAAACACACACACACACTCGCGCCTAGTTACACAGCAAATTGGAATTGGGGCTTTGGTTTTTGGACTTGGGTGGGTGCGTCCGCGTCCGCGAATTAGGTCCACAAACTGCCGAAACGCCAACTCGCCGCTGCAGTGCCACAATTTCTGCCTGCAGTAGCTTTTGTTGTTACAGCAACATCGCGCAAATGTCAAATTCTCATGAACTGCTTTAAAAGACGCTGTGTTTGATACAGCATTTGTTGATTGATTAATAGAAAAACAACTTTAATCATAACATGACACTTATTCAAACATTTTCATTCAACATAATAATCAAACAAAAACAATAAACGCGGGGGTAGACAACAGTGACACAGTCGCGATGTTAGCGTCCTACTTGGTCGACGCTCTCTTCCGAATTGAATGAATGAGCAAATGATGTTGTTTGTCGGAGATAAATAATCGAACTATCGATAATCGTAGAGATATCTGCGTCAACAGTTGCTTAACATGCTCTTTCATGCGCCTACCGATTCATAATTAACAGAAGAGAAACATGCGTCTACATTTGGTTAACATGCTCTTTTCTGCGCTTAATAGCAGTTGGAAATTTCATGCCCCATTGTCCTGTTTCATCCATAAATATACAAGATATGTATAATGTAATGTAATGTATATATTTAAAAGCTGTCTATATACGACTCAGTCTCACTGCTACTATTTTTTGGCCGCCAGTTGCTTGCGTAGCCGACTTTGCGCCTCAACGGGCCAAGACTTAAGTTCGGCCCTGGCACAAGGCAGGCAATAGGTCTTAGTATAATAAAAACTGCAGGACGTATCCTTGCACACAACTTTGCCGCAGATAGCGCAATTGGCGCCCAATGACACATAAAACTCTGGCTTGGATTGCCAGCGTGGCGGAGGCGCCTGGAATGGATCGCGTAACACATAGTTATCCTCACGAAATTTGACACCCAAGGCAAAGGGTGGCACCCGACCGTAGAAATGCACCATCTCGTGCATATCACAAGCGCTGCAATTGAACTCGACGTTCGCCACACGTTCATCATCATCCTGTGCCAGGGGCTCTGTCGAAGTCGGCAGCTGCAATCGCTTAATCTCTGCCGCCTCGTTGTCAAGATTCAAATCATCATCATCGGCGTTGAAGCTGTTGCCGAGCGAATCATCTGTCATGGCGACCACTGCAAGAGTAAAGACAAGTAGGAGAGCTTGGCCAATAGTACGAGACGTAACTTTAGTAATTAGATAGCCTAGGAATATATACAATTAATACATCTAACATTAAAAACATTCAAGTTTCTAAGGGTCATTCCATAGCAGCAAGACCACGTTTGGAGATCACATCCTTGGGCCACCAATGCGGACGATCCACAAAGCAACGTTCGCCATCGAGGACTAGTTGTTGGTCACCATGGAGCACGGGTTCAATGCGCAGCAAAGCGACGCCATGGTTATGGGCATGGCCAAAAACGCGCCCAAGATTTGCGCCCGCAACAGATTTCACCGTTTGATTGGAGCTAACAGGCGCTGTAAAGCGTATTGGCATATAACGTTTACGTATGACACCAGAGTGATGAACCCGTGCTGTTAGCTCCTGGCCCACATAGCAGCCCTTGTTAAAGCTGACTCCATTGAGATAATCGGCGTTGGCCTCAAGCGGAAAGCATTTGCCCGGCGGCAGCTCCTCAATACCCTCACCAATACCCTGCTTATAGCGCAGCAGCTTATAGTTACTATCGGGTGTGGGATTAACGGCGACCACATCATGATTGCGCCATAAGTCCTTGGACAGCTTAGTGGAATTCATTTCGGCGGGCGCCAGGACACGAGTGCCCATACTACCGACACGCGGATCCGGCGCAATAAATAATTCCATAGCCTTGTGTGTACGTATATCGCCCCGTCCATTCTCATTAAAGATCACCCAGGGCACATACTCGTCATCTACGGTGTCAATGTCGATGCGTTTGCGTACGCGATACATGCGCAAATGGCGACGAAAATCAGAGGAAGCATCTCGATCGCATTCCAACAAAAAGGTGTCCGGATCATTGGTGCGATAGATAATTGTGTCGTACATTAAACGACCGCCTCGGTTCAGAAACAATGCGTACATCGATGAGGGTCCGTTGGCCTCTTGCAAGCGGGACACATCGTTCGTCACGAGGCCCTGGAGAAATGGCACCACCTCATCGCCATGCACACGTATCAATTCCCGCTGACGGAGAGGCTCTAATGTGAATGCATTGTTCGTAGATCTAGGTGCAGGTATCCTTCCGGCATAGTTGCGGATGCAGTTGCGTGCTATGCGTAGAAACTTGAAATTTTTACACACATTCATCCTGCGGGTAAAGGTTTTGGTATGTGCGGTGGTCCACTTGGAACTGTTTTTCAATATTGCATAAGTTATGCTTACCTGAATTTTTTTTATTCAAAATACACAAATGTAAAAAAAACGCCGAATACTCGAAATTTGTGTGTTATAATAGTGAGAACAGCTGACTGAATCTATAAAATCGTGCCCGATGACAAGCTAGTTGCCATGGCTACTAGATTTGTAATTATTTCTTGATAAACACAAATAAAAACACATACGTCGTAAGTTGAGCGGTTTAAGCTGTACTTCCTCCTCTAATTCCACCTTTAAGCTATGTACCTGCAAAGACGATGCTTATCCGATATCGATACTTATCGATTACAAAAATTAAAAAAAAATATCGGCGTAGGAAAATATCCAGAGCGTTTTATTTTAGCGTGATGGAAGTCGCTTATAGCAAATGTTTCGAATTTCTACCGTTAATATTGTTTATTATTATGTTTTTCTTTAAACATTATGAGCAGAACATCAAATACTTGAGTCTAAGCAATTTTACTAAGCGTTTGTTAAAAGGACTTTTTTTATTTACCACTTGCAATAAAAGAAAATTGAAAACAAAACACTGTTTTTCTGCGGTGTTTGTTAAATATTTACATAAGTGCCTAAAATATTAATTGAAGTCAATTGTTGGGCTCTTAAAATATTAATTCAAGTTAATTGCTAGCCTTTGGCGCAATTTTCTTGGCCAGCGCATTCATTTGATTATTGGTTTTCTTTTTTGGTTTCTTATTCTTTTTGATGGCATCGACTTTGACTCCTCGGTATTCAGATTTCTTTTTGCCAGCTGCAGATTTGGTGGGCTCGTTGGGTCTTCCATTTTCTTTCCTTTGCCGCTTGTCTATGCGCTTCTTTGCTCCCGTCGCATTCCCTTTATTTTTCGATTTGGACTGTGGCCCCGTTGCTGCAGCAGCCGCAGAGTCGCGTGCCTGCTTAGCGCCCAGTTTTTTCACCGAGTAGCGTTCCACGTGTATGGGTCTATCGTCGAGCAATGTCTCATTTAGCTCTAGTGCAAGCCCGACCGCATCTGGTTTCTGGAAGCAAACATATGCCACACCCTTGCAGCCCTTGTCGCCGTCCTGAAGGCAACGTATGTAGTCGATTTCGCCACAGCTAGAGAAGATCTCACGCAGGTTCTGCTCACTGGCCGCTGTAACGAATGGCGAGTTAATAACGGAAACCGAACAATGTCATATACTCGATTACTTACAATATTTAAGATTGCCCACAAATACTGTGCGCTTGACGTCGGCATCGCCGGATGCTTGATCATTGCCAGCAGCTCCCACAGCACCACGAACCTGTGCTGCTGGTGTAACACGCAAATGATTCTCCTTGAATTCCGTGCCATTTAGCGCCAGCGCTTTCTCAGCTATTGCAGCACTATCCAGTACCACGTAGGCATTCAAGGAGCCCGCCCCCTTGCGCTGTTTGTGCTTAAACAGTTGCTTGCCACCCGCCGTACGCAGACGGATTGAGTGAACGGTGCCATAAGGTTGCAGCAGACGCACAAGCTGGACACGCTTCGTATTGATGGGCAGATTGCCGACAAATATGGTCGCTGCTTCGGTGGCAGGATCTCGTTCCCGTTTCAGAGCTTCTATAAAAATAAAGTTGTTTGAGAGTTGTTGATTGCAAGGAAACTTAATCCTTACCTGGATCCTTGTCGTTTCCTTTTTTGACTGATTTTCCTTTCTGTTTCTTGTCCTGTTTTGTGGTTGTTTTTGCTTCTGGTAAACTCTTCTTCTTTTTGTTTGGTTCAGACACTGTTTTTTCCTCTGCTTTGGCCTCTACTTTGGACTCTTTCTCTACTGTTTCAGTAGTCAGTTTTCGCTGCTGCTTTTTAAGTTTTTGTGCCTGTTTTTTGGCTTTTTTCTTCTCGATCTTGGCTAAATCAGCTACAGATAGATTCTTTGGGCTCCCTTTCGGCACCTCCACGACGGCGCCCGATGAAGCGACTTTTGTCACTTTCGCCTTCTTTGATTTTGGTGCCTTTTTAATAGTTTTGCTTTTCACCGCAACATCTTCTGACTTCTTTTGAAGTTTTAAGTCATCGTTGCTCTTTAATTTATTTTTCGGCGATTTCATTTTGATTTACTAAAACTTCACGTGTTGTACGCGTTTAGTGTTGCAAGATGTTCAACTTAAAATTGTTGTGCACTTGTGGTATGTTATTCTACAGTATTGCCTCTGTTGTGCGTCTGTTAAAATTCGCACCAACGATATTTGGTAAAATGGCTGCCAGTGTAGGATAATACTTAAATCGACTTAAATATATTTCTTATCGAAATTTACTAAGCGGCTTGTTATTGCCATCTCTATTCTACTTGTTATCTTGTGCATTTTGTTTATAAAATATGAAGAGATATAAGCAGAAACTGCGAGAAGTTTGGCTGCAAATGCCAGAGTTCAGGCCATGGTTACGACGAGATCCCGAGGACTCATACAGAGCGCGTTGTCGTTTTTGCAAGTGTGGGGTCAACACAAAAATATGTGACTTGCGCGCTCATGCGCTCACAAAGAAGCACCAAAAAATGAATGCCGCAGTTGAAACCAAAAGAAATGACTCGGTAAGCATAGTTTTGATGGAATAGTCTGATCTACGACCAATTTCTCAATTTTGAAACTACAGAGCAATGATGACTCTGCATCTATGGACCACAACATAGACTACAGGACCAGCAAAGCGACAGCAGCCAAACGCTATAGAAGCCACGCTGATGATAATAAAAATAATATGAAATTGTCACCAGTTAAAACTGAAAAGAGAGGCAGCAATGGACCCGATTATGAGGCCATTATTGAAAGTCTAGCGTTATACGAACCGGAACAGATAATGTTCTCTAATGGGTCCACCACACAGTCTGACGATCAAATCGAGCATCCTGCACCCACAGTAAACATAGATGAAGAGAGCATCACCAATGCTGTTACCGTCGCCGTCAAGAACCTTAAAGATTCGCCACAAATATTTGGTGACTTTGTTGCTGATCGACTGAGGCAATTATCGGTGAAAACATCGGAATTAACCAAGGACAAAATTATGCAGGTTCTTTTAGAAGCTGCTGCGTTAGACAGATCAAACAATTGCAACTGACACGGATTAAATTCCAATTCGATATGTATAATTTAAATAAATCTCACAATCAGCCTTAAGTACAAAGAATTATTTGATCGACGGTTTAATAATAAAGTTTTCCTACCCATATTTTAAAGAAATTTTTGTGCCAACATATATACAAAAATCGTACAAGTAATTTTGTAAAAAAATATAGTGCACAAATTCACATGGTTTAAGAGCAGAAGTTTGTAGGATTTGTGGTAATGTTTGATTGTAAGAATATTTTAAATGTGTTTACAACAAATGTTTTGAAATATTGCGGTTTAGCTCTTTACGATGGTAGACGCGACTATCGAAATATCGGGTGTAATTTTAGGTGCGAAATCGATAGCTCTTAAGATCGCGTCCATAACGTTGTGAAATACGAGTCACTTTTATTTGGATTTAATTAAGAAGTTTCGTCTGTTCTATATTATCCGACATGAGCTCCCAAGAAAACTCGGAGGAAATCAGTGGCAAGGATAATAAATCTCTAACTGGTCCTGAGACTACAAAACCTACTAAACGAAAGTTATGCGACGAGGAGGAAGCAATCGTAGATAGCAGTGAAATAAATAAACGCAGGAAATCTGAGGACAGTCAAAGTACAGAATCTAGCGACAATAATACTGTGAAAATTGAAACAGCAGATGCCGAAGCTACAGACGAAACAAAGCCCAGTAATAATAGCATTCTAGTGGCGATAAAAACCGAACCAGGTGGAGAGCATGAAGACAGTGGCGTCCCTGCGGCTAGCACTAGCTCAAATGTACCACCAGCTATTTCAATAAAAACGGAGGCAGCCAACAGCGATGCAGTTGCAGTAACGGAGGCAGCCAGCAGTTCCACTGTTGTTAAAACAGAACCAACCAGTAGTCAGTCCGCGATTGTTGATAGCTCGGTCTCATCCAGTACCTTACGACCATCCTGTCGTTTCGGCATACGATGCTATAGGTAATTTGCGCTCATATCTGTTTTGCGACTATCATAACAAGTTGACATTTTAATCGCTTAGACGCAATCCGGCTCATCGGAATATAGAGGCACATCCTGGCGATTCGGATTATCGTCGCCCCAGTTATCCAACACCACCTCTGGGCACACCAGCCTGTCAATTTGGAAACTCTTGCTACCGTCGAAACCCAGTACATTTTCAACAGTTTTCCCATCCTTCGGATTGTAAGTAAGATGCAATAGATGCGCCATACGGCACCTAAAGGGCAACTTAGTCAATTCCGCCCAGAACATTCGCAATCGCTTACGCCAGCGTCGCGCCCAGACGCAAAGTTCCAATGCGCCGGCAGATGAATACTCTGATTTTGGATCAGACGAGGAGGAGGATCCATTTTACGATCAGGGTGACTCTGATTTGGACTATAAGCCTGGCGCGAATGAAGACAAAGACGACGACGACGAGGACGATGAACTTGAATTCAATAGCGAGCGTCAGAACTGTGATGAATTTGATTAGTTTTATTTTTTGAGAAATTTCGTGATGTAAATATGTAAACTTCATCTGTTAAATAACTGAATATATGTCTGTATACTAAATATCGTGTCAATATAATAGTTGTTAATGTTAATGTCGGCTGTTAATGTCACTGGTATATGTCACAGCATAACAGTCTGGCAACGAATGGTTTGGTATTTAGCGCAACTTACGATACGGGCACACTGTTAAGTCGTGTTTTTGCTTCGTATCGTCGCCACATCTGTGTGTCAGACGAGACGCATTTTTTCTTAATTGTGATTTATACAAGTCTACGTCCATTGCAGTGTTCAATTTGGTAAACAGTAACAACAGAAAGGTCTCAAACTGGCGGAGAAAAAAGTACAGATGGCATTATGCCAAACATCCGTGGTAAGACACAAGCATATGATACAATATGCTGCATAGGTACATATATATTCTACAACAAAGCTATGCCCTCAAAAAACACAATATATACATTACGAGAACTGCCATAGAGCATCCGGCACCGAGTCAATTATTCATGGCTTTCTGTTGTTAAATAATTAAAATGCTGTGACATATGGAAGAAGAAAATTGCGGCCCTCAAAAGTGAAAGTTTTCCCCACCAAACGAAGCGCATGAGTTGCCTTAAGCCTGTAGCGGCTGCGACGGCGGCGGCATGTCTGCTGCCTTATGTGTACGTGTGTGTGTGTGCACTTCTTTATGCTTGTGCAGCGTGCTGAAGGATTCGCATAGCTTCAAGCGTGTGTGTGTGTGTGTGTGCATCTAATCATATGTTTTCGACGTAACGCAAGAATTTAAAATTGTTATTATATATAGTTACAGTTTGTTTTATTATCAGCATCGACTTATCTTAGCATTGATAGTAACCACACCTACGTGTTGGCGTATATCTGTATATATGTCCGCAGATACATTAAACGTGTGAAAGAATGTAGATGCGGGCATGCTTGCAATCAAAAATAGCACTTGAATTATAATGCATATGTATGTATTTACATGCAAACACTCACACATATGTAATTCACAATACAAATACAAGTTGCAGTGTGACTAATAATTGAGTTTCTTAAATGAATTGAAAATAGCGAATTGGCCCATTTTAATAATTTCAATATGAGACAGTCATCACAGGACAAGAAAAGAAAACACCAAAATATAGGTACATATTTTTGGATAGTACTTTTTTAGTTATATATATAGAGAATACCCTAGAAAAAGGTATTTTAATTTTACGACAAAATGTGTTATGCGTTTTAAGAGATATACATAAATATTCTTGATCCACGATATAAGCCAAACAGCACCTATTAGTATATCGTATATGTCCAGAAGGAATAATCTGTCAAGATTTCTCGAGAAAATTCTCAAAAAAAAAAAAACTGCATATTGCACCCATTTCTATCATATTCACAAATTAGTTTCGAAAAATATAGTTAACTACACTCTCTTTTATGGTAAAAGAATAAAAATGTATTTATATAAGTTGTTCATGGTGTACATTAAAGCGTTTCTACAGTTTGAGGTGTGAAACTTTGCGTGCTTTGGTATGTTTGGCGAATTGCCGTGACACTAATCTTTAAAAGTAAATCAAATAATTGTTTTGACTAAATTGTTTTGGCACATTTTTCGCAGCTGAAAGTCTATCATGCCGTAATCGAGGATGTTATCTCGAATGTGCGCGACGCCTTTCTGGATGAGGGCGTTGATGAGCAGGTGCTGCAGGAGATGAAACAGATATGGCGCAATAAGCTATTAGCAAGTAAGGCGGTTGAATTGAATCCCGAACCCGGCGAGCCAGGCCACCATCCACCGCCCATTGTGGCCAACAATCCAAAGGTAAGCAAGGTGTGTTATCCTTGCCAACGGCCATTGACTGACTGTGCAGCGTGTTGTCCATATATGTCTATAGATATTTTTATATATAGTATGTGTATATGTAGAGCTATTCCTATATGTTTTGCTTAAATAGTGTACAATAACAAATAAAACATTACTCTGTTGCTTTTCTCTCTCTCTCTCTCTCTCTCTCTCTTCAATTGCAACAACAATTGATCGCGCGCATCAACATTAAATACCAACACCGATTGCTGCTTAATGTATTTGTAACTGCTATCACCATAAAACACGTACACCCACAAACACACACATCTACATTCTTTGCTGCAGAGCTCCAAGGTAATGCAGTATTTAGTAATTGCTCTCACTGTACTTTTTGACTAATTACCTTCCTATTTTGCAGGCTGCCAATGCCAAGGCCAAAAAAGCCGCCGCCGCTGCAGCTGCTTCACAACAGAACAACAGCGGCGCCGCCGGCGGCATCAGCAGCAGCGCGGACAGCAATAAGCTGGCATCGCCATCGCTTGCCGGCAAATCAACAGCCATTGCGGCTGGCGGCGGCGGCATGAAGAATGGCATCGGTGCCATTAAACAGGAGGTCACATCACAGAATCCACCGCCGCTGCATCCCACATCCGGTGCGACAATGATGCAAAAGCAGCAGGCAGCGGCCGGTGGTGCCACATCCGGTGGCCAAACGCCGATACCAATTGTCGCACAATTGGATCCTAATCGCATTATGCCTGTTAATGTATGCATTTAAAAAAGTTAAAAAACCGAACTGATGCCATTTAAAATCTTTGCAGATAACGTTACCTTCGCCGCCGGGATCAACAAATTCGGAATCTCGTGTGCTCACCATACAAGTGCCTGCATCGGCACTGCAGGAGAATCAGTTGACCCAAATACTAACCGCTCATCTGATTTCATCCATTATGTCATTGCCCACCACGTTAGCCTCCTCCGTGCTGCAGCAGCACGTGAATGCAGCGCTTAGCAATGCCAATCATCAAAGTAAGGCAGCTCCACAAAATCTCCTTGGACAATCCTTATAACCATTTATTTATTTACCAGAAAATTTGGCCCTTGCTAAGCAGCTAGACGGCGCTTTAGATTCATCCGAGGAGGATGAAAGCGAGGAGAGCGATGATAATGTAGACAATGATGACGATGATGATCTGGACAAAGATGATGATGACGATGCGGAGCACGAGGATGCCGCCGAGGAGGAGCCGCTAAATAGCGAGGATGATGTCACCGATGAGGACTCGGCTGAAGTTTTTGACACAGATAACGTTATTGTTTGCCAGTATGATAAAGTAAGGGAATATACTATATAAAGACTACAGAGCATATATCTTAACACCTATACATCTTTCTATAGATCACACGCTCGCGCAATAAATGGAAATTCTATCTCAAGGATGGCATTATGAATATGCGCGGCAAGGATTATGTGTTTCAAAAATCCAACGGCGATGCGGAATGGTAACCGACGTAAAACGGCAACAAAAAAAAAGCATAGTGTGAAGATCCATCAGATAAGAAGTAAAAAGAATACAAACAAATAAAAGACAAACGAAATGCCTCACAGTGCGCCTTTAAATACGTTACTAGCACCCCCAATCCACACAACATGACCAAACGATGTCCAACAGTGGCAGCCAAACTGATACATCCTTTTGGACACGCTGCCTGGCCGGGCATATAAAATTGTATCTAATATTAGTTTCAACTATTTTTTGTATTGCTTGCGTCAAGTCGAGTTGTTTCAATTAATAAATTTGTAATCGTAATATTTGTAATAATTACACTGCTCTGCATATTATTGTCAATAAAATGAAACTTTGTAAGAAATCTATTACGAAGATTTGTAAAAGGAACATTATAAAAATATATATGTAATGCATTTATATATACATAAGATACATACACCAAGATAGTTCAGTTGCTTTTTTGACAAATGTGACAAATGAACAGAGTGCTTGGGCAGTTCCAAGATTTCATTGCCGTTGCCTGATAAAATTGGATAGTTATATCAAATCAAACCAAATCAAAACAATAAAATCTAGAGAAATTCTTAAAAATCATATACAATTTATAGATTGTAAAATATATGTATATGTATCGTATATTTAAAATTAATTTTTTTAATTAAGGAGTACAGCATTTTACAATTAAAACACTTAAAACAACAGCGCGACAATAGCTAATTGTTTATGTATATGCTCTATGTACATTGCAACTGCATAGTTTCTGTTTTAATGTTTATAGATTATATATTCAATGTACATACCACGCACGCGCGCCTAAAAACGACTCGCGCACTCAAATCTAAACGCTGCCTCAGGGACTGCATATGCTTAATTAAGCACACTCTCCCTAACAGTTTTACTCTAAACAATCTTATTAAATGACTTAACTGAAATCGTCATCGCTGTGGTCTTACGTATCTAACTAAACAAAATATGCGAAATAATCAGTTGCCGAATTGTTAAATGATTGTTGACTTGCTTTAGAAAAAGATTAATTGATGTTGAGATGAAGTTCAAATTTAAATTCATAGTCTATACAGAGCCTAACGTTGCGCTACTCACGACGCAGCACATTTATGTAATTTGTAAAAACAATTAATTATTAATTTGTATTTATATATATATATATGTGTGTGTGTGTGAGTGTGTGGGTGTAGATGTAAAATCTTACTTATGAAACACAACTATGGTTTTTAAGCGATTGGAGTCGTTAATAGGCGCTCATCTCTTAATTTAGCTGAATTTGTTTTTTGGTGATTTTGCCCGCAAACAATTTTGTGCTAAGCACCAAAAGTTGATAATATATAATTGTCATTGAAAAATGAGCCTTTCATAACTACAAATTGTATGTGTATCCGCGTGTGCCTAACTAAATATTAAGTTGTTAATAGCGCTATGTTGATTTCCTTGACCATTTTAACGCGATGCAACATACGTTGCAGCGCATCTTGGCTAAGCGCTTGCGTCGAATACCAAACGGGAGAATCGGGTACACAGGATCGTTCCGGTTGCAAATAGAAAACATCATTGCGCGTTTTAACACTCTCCGGGCTAATGTTGAAAGTAAACAATTAGTTAAAATCTAAAAACAAATATACTTGACTTACCATTTGGATAGATAGAATTCGTATAGGCGCACAGGACAGCGCAATGGATTATCCTCGTTCTCTTGCTGTTCATATACTTTTTTCTTGCGCGGATTA